TTTTTTTTTTTTTTTGAGACTGGGTCTGCTCAAGTTGCTGAATTTCCCAGACTGGGGTTGAACTTGAGATCCTCCTGTGTTAGCTTCCTAGAGTGCTGAGGTTACAGACATAGGACACTGCACCTGGCTCCTGTATTACTGCTTTTTAAAAACAGCTACAGCTTTCCTTTTAAGGAATATCATATTTAATGGGGGAAGCTAATCTGTCAATTTATGCAAAATTCCTTTTAGATGTTTATCACACATTAGTAACTGCTTTAAAAGTATTTACTAGGGCCGGGGATTTAGCTCAGTGATTCTGCCACCTGCCTCCCAAGCACAAGGTCCCTAGTTTGATTCCCAGTATCAAAAAAAAAAAAAAAGCATTTACTAAACTGAGTTACTGTATCATCATCCTGGTTTTTCAGACAAGAAAATAGTAGGTATACTAGCCAACCTAAACTTGCACAGTTTTATGAGCAAAGATCCTGAAAGGCCTCTTTTCACTGGTCGGCTTGTGGAACTCACTAAGGTCATTTGACAAAGTCACTGCCAGGAGGGTAAGCATATTGCCTGATATGGCACATCAGATTTTTAAAGACTACGTTTCCTTTAACTAATGCTCTCAAAATCTCTGATAGAATCTTACAGCAATGACCAGGCAAATGTGAGTAGAAGGAACCATCATTTTAGAAACTCGACTAAGCATCAGTTTATACAATGGGATAGGCATTGCTGCAGGAAATGACCACAACATAATAGATGGTTATGAAGGTCTGAATTTGGGCGTGTAGCCTATATGCTTAAGAGACTGAATCATGCCATAATAATAACATCATCATGCATTTGGTTGAATGCTGTATAGAGAGTAATCAAACACAGCTCTTACGAAGAGCTCAAAATCTGGTGTAGAGATACCCAGTACAGCATAATGCTGCAAGAAAATAAGGGAATTGGTGGGGGAGGGTGAAGCACAAAGGAAATACACCTAACCTTGTCCTAGGAATTCAGAGAAAACTTCCTAGAGGAGGAAATGGAGCTGAATCCTCAAATATGAGTAGAAAATACCTAACTCAAATGGAATGGCATAATAGATAATCTATCTATTATGAATAGATAATCTATATCTAAAAGGCAACTTTTTTTGTTTGTTTGGGTTTTTTGAAACAGGGTCTCACTATGGCACTTAGGCTGGCCTTAAACTCACTATGTAGCCCACATTGACCTTGAAGTCATGGCGATCCACCTGCCTCAGTCTCCTGAGTGCTGGGATTATAGGCTTGTGTGACCTTTTCTGAATAAAAAGGCAAATTTTGATAATATCAGTGCAACATACCAGAACCTATACGATGCAATTAAAGCAGTTCTAAGAGGGAAATTTATAGCTGTGAATACTCACATCAGAACAACACAGTGAGCTCTAATGATCCATCTCAAGATCCTAGAAAAACAAGAATAATCCATATCCAAATCTAGAACAAGGAAAGAGCTTATAAAGATCAGAATAGAAATAATGAAATTGAAACTAAAAAATTCAGTACTCAGTTTAGTAAATACTTTTTTTTTTTTGATACTGGGAATCAAACTCAGGACCTTGTGCTTGGGAGGCAGGCGGCAGAATCACTGAGCTAAATCCCCGGCCCTAGTAAATGAAGAGCTAATTCTTAAACAACAACAACAACAACAACAACAACAACAACAACAACAAAAAAACAGCATTCTTCACAGAACTGG